TTCCAAACAGCTATGAAAAGTATAAGTTTTTTTATTTTTGAATGAATTCTAATAATGGAACACTACTAAGTTATTGATATTACTAAGTTTATTGATAAAAAAAATGGAACGCTAATGTTTAAATAAACATTATTACATTTGTCATTAACATGTCTAAATACATGTGCGGCCCTTCGTTAGCCAACCTGCGGTGCAAGTGGCCCTTCACTCAAAAAGGTTGTGCACCCCTAAATTAAGTCACCATTTAAGTTTATCAATTTCATTGAAAGTGTGGATTGCATATTTGTCAGTCACTGGCTATGACATAACTTACAATTTATTTTATTTACCAAACAATCTAGTTACAGAAGCCAGGCAATAACAGCGTATAACTGCCTGTGAGTCTAATAGGCTGACAGTACCTCATTTTGAGTGAGGAAGGCAAAGTTCTCAGTAATGTTCTCTTGTAAAACACACTTAATGGGATTCCACCTAAGCTGCTCAGCTTAAAATACTCAGATTGTGTTGATTTTTCATAGTAGTGTAATATAAATTATTCTAATTGGAACTAAAGCACATCAGACAGTGTAATTTACATCAGACAGACAGTGAAAATATTGAGCACATTCTTTGCTACTGTTATTTTTGTTCCACTGATGCCGTTTTACAGGCTCTTATAACTAGTTTAAGAATTGTAATAACAAACTGCTTAAGACGAAAATTATTCTTACATTTTTCACAAAATAAATTGCCACGATTGGCTATATTTAATAATTTTATGTAATCATTAAGCAAACAACTGTGTGATTTTAATAGTAAATTCACATTTTCATGAATAACACATTCAGACATTTGGTTTTTGTTTTATCTATGCATAAAATATGGTTGATAAGCTTCCATCAAGGTGCGCAGCAGATACTTTTTTTCGCTTTGTGTCTTTCTGTCCATTTTCTCTGACAATCATGCACTAAGCTCTACCAAAAGTCTGGTAAGAAAGATAATCAGATGAGTAGAAATATATTTTTAATAACTTATTTATCTTTAAAATATAAATTTTTGGGCTGAATAAATTAAAATCCTGAATGCCCTCTAGTTATGATGAATTTTACTGTAATCATGCATAATTCCTAAAAATAACTCCCGAACCCATATATTACAACAAATTTCCTCTAAAATGAAATCAAATACAAGTGTATTGCTTAAACTTTATGAAACCCAATGTTGGTTTCAGTTGGCATGGAATTAAACAAGTTCTAATTAAAAATTTTAACAAAGAAATTTTCAATTAAATGTTGACATTAAAATTATATGCATCTTGAAGGGAGTTTATTAAATTTTTATGAAGTAATTTTAATAATCTTGAAGTTATCTTGACTATTCTGAGAATCAAAAGTTAGTAAGAACAATCTATCTTCAATTCAGAGAAAAGTTAAGTATTCATTTTTAAAATAACATTTTCTTTTTTTTTCTTTTAGTTGAAGTTTTTGATGAATACAAGTACCTAGAGTGCATTTCTGATGAATCTTTATGTACCTAGTTATATTTATTTTTGGCTAAAGGAACTTAGAAGGTATATTTAATTTTTCTTCAGAATTTGATATGATAATTGTTACTATGTTATACTGTTAAATACATTTTTCCATTATAGTATAATTTTCGTAAGTAATGTATTGAATTGTATGTGTTTTAACAGTAATTATTCCCCTTTAATATTATGCGATTTTAATGATATACCATTAATACCTGCTTTAATAATAAACCATTTTTATTCAAAAATTGTTTACAATTTTTTTTCATTTCTAAACGCTGTTAAATGACAAACATTATTACTTTGAAAATTAATGTTTTTTTTTTAAAAATGTGTTCATATATTTTAAAACTGTTTCATTTTATTAACTTTAAATATTATTATAAATATCATAAATATGAAATAAAATCAGAATTCAATGTTTATTCTATTATGATAAGGCATTTACACACAGACCTTTTTTAAAATAATTCACACTTATATATTACTAACCATAAATCTAAACAATTTTTTTAGATTATAAAATTTTTTATATGTTATTAAAATTTTATAAGTATTTAATTAAAATGCATAATTTTCTTCCCAATTCAAATCAAAACATCATTAAATAAGGACTGTCATCATAAGCATGCCCAGACTTTTTTTTTATGAAGTTGAGGCATTAAAAATATCTTCCCCTATGCCTTATGTGCCCTCACTACAATGTTTGATACACTTAAAAATCGACTTTGCATTGCTAATAGCAAAATATAATAAAAAGTGGTTGTAAGGAACATGGCTAATTAAGAGAAGTCCTCTTATAAGTTTCCAAGTCATCATCAAAATGCTAATGTTAGAAATACAAAAATTTTACGCTTATCACAAGATAAAAATTACTACCCTACCACTATTACAATGATGTTTCTTGAAGAAAACACATTTTCCTTCTGTGCAAGTGAGCAATATTATGAGATAAGCAAAATGGAATCATTTTGAATTATTTCCAATATCAATTAGGCAAAGAGAAAAGCAAACATTTTGCCTTAATGCTTTATAAAGCAAACATGTTGGATGATCATCGGCCTAGTTATCTTCCTACTTACCAAAGTTAAATTCTGGTACTTTTAAGAATCCTGTTGTACACTTTAAAAAAATGTGCCTTTTGCTAACCACATATTACCTCTGTGATTCTTTTACTAACGTAAATCAAAATAGTTATTCAAAACAGAAGGTAAAGAGGTAGATGTGCCTATTTTACCTGTTAGTCTCTATTAATTTGTGCTATTTTAACATTACATGTATGCATTCGCTTATAACGACAAGTTCACTATAAAGACAATATAATCTGTTATTATGAATTGTAATTATGGACCTTACTGTACTCAAACAAGTACTTTATCTCCTTGAACAATTATTAAAAAAATTCTGAATAACAAAGACGTAAATGATTACAATGCAAAACTTAACACAATCTTCTTCAAGACTGCCAAAGATTGCATTGCTGGTAACTTTAATGACATTTTTGGATAACATTTATGAGCAGCGTTTCCAGCATCTTCCATGTGCAAAGATTATAAAAGTTCAGTGAAGAAGATTAGAAAAAAATATTTCAAGGTATTCCATGTTAATTTATATATTTCAAGGTATGCAATATATAAATTAACATGGAATACCTTTTATATGGTATTACCTTTAGAGAAAATATAATCTTTATCATCTTTAAAGAGATAACTTTTATAGGGCAAAAAATAAACAAGTGAAAACAAATGACATAGATAAAATTTTTATCACTAAAAACAGTGGAAGATTATATTATGTCTCATTATATTGAAGAAAAAAAATCATGAAGAAAAACTCACTACATTTTTTAATTTACTTTTAAGCATTTGGGTTGCTTCACTGAAATTTAAGACTGAATTCTAAGTTTAATTCATTTTCTAATTATTCCTTAAAGTATCAATGATTGTATTGCAATTAGTTTCTTTCAAAGAAGCTTTTAAGTAAACTGATACAAGGCAAGATTAAGAGGGAGGCTCCTGGAGCTGTAACCCCAAATCCCTATATTTTTAGAGAGCTCAAAAGTTTTTGAAGGTAAAATTGATTTTTGTTATTTTTCTAAAAAAATATTTATATTTCAAGCGTATGATGGTCTTACAATTCTCCTTCAGAATCATTAAAAATTTTATGTATTTTTCAATTTAAAATTCAATAAATAAATAAACACATTACATCTCTACTGCTCTCTCAACTATGTATTTTTTTTTTTTTCTATTTTCTACTGTTGCTTTAGGTCACAAGTTCTTGGTTTTTTTAACTTAACATAATTAAATCGTACGTTCATTTTAAATACTTCATCAGTAATTTTTAGCGTCTACCACAGCCCAATTGTTTTCTTGCCAGATATCAACTCTGAGTTTGAAGATTAGACTCAGTTTACAACAAGTATTTTTTTAAAGTTATTTTTTGTTCAATTCAATTTTCTTTTCAACAGATAGAATATAGTAATTTTTATAAATTAAAAACCTACAAATATCTGATGTGCACATTGGTGAATTACACTTTCATTAATATTAAAAAGAAATCTTAATAAAAGGAGCAACTAATTTTAAATTTATTTACTACTTTAAAATAGCTTTTTTAATCTTTTTTCTACATTGTTTTTTTTAGTTTATCATAAAATCTTTTTATATTAGCCTTTTGCTTACAGCTGGTACAATTATAACCAGAATGACTGGCATGCAAGTGCTGTAAGCAAAATGTTATTGTAGGTAAATAGTAGAAGTCCTTTATAATGAGTGCATATAGATCAAAGTAAATCACTCATTAAACTTAAATTGGCTAAAATTAACAAAAATAAAACTATAATACGCAAAAATACACTTAAAAATTGTTTCATTTTTGTTTTCTATTTACACTAAAGGGAAAAACCTTAATTTGTAATTTATCTTTGGGCTTTTGTTCTGCAATTGACCAGCTTTGATCTACAATTTTCAAGATGTGTGTTGATAACTTTAATGCCACTACAAAAATATATAATAGATTGGACATATGATTCATGGAAGAGCAGGAACATAACAGGCAGACTCATATGCAATATTCGATAAAATTTATTCATTATTTTGCTTAACAACAGCTTCTAATAGTTATGATATAAAATCAAAGTAATATAATATAATTTGTTTTGCTGGTTTGGAAATTTCCGCCAATCTTGATGTGTTGTTGATTTTGATCTCTGTGTTCTTATCTGAGCATACTGGATCCATAACCTACTAAAATGAGTATTAAAAAAAAAGACTCAAAACTAAAAATTATTTTGTTTATTGTTAGAAACAAAATAGTTACAGGAAAATGACAGATAAGCATATAGTATCACAAAACATGAGATTCTGCTGGGGTTGCCATACAATTACTTTGATTTTATGTAATCACAATTATTTTTAAATTTGTGTAATATGTTTATTCATGAATTCATATTACATGCATGCAAACCTTAGTATTCTTATCATTTCTTTTTATAAGAAGCACCATTGTTTCTCTACTGCTTCCTATTATTTTGTACCTCAATGATTTCTCTATCTCTTTTTCTTTTCTTTATACATGGATGCCAACTCAGAAATAGCAGCACTCCACCATGTTTAAAGTGGTGACAAAATAGCAATTAAAATAAAATTAAATTGTTTAATAGTGCCAGTACTTAGTAAACTTCACTGCCTTGTTTGCATGTCTTGTACATTTGTGTTAACTGATTATTATAGTGGTGATCATAATCTTTCTAAATCAAATTTATTAAATCAAAAGTAATCATAAAATTTACTACCACATAAGATATTAAAAACAATTCTCCCATTTAAACATGAGAAGTTGGCTTTGATGTTTATGTCAAAAATAGGGACAGAAAAAATTATGAAGTTTTGCATAGTTTTCTTAAATTGTAGTTTTTTCAGAACTATTTTAGTTTCTGCTAACTATTTAGACGTATTTCACATACCATATGTAGTTTAATTGTTGAATTTTATAAATAAATTTATTACATCTTCTTATTATTATAATAAATTATTTCAATAGATCTATAGTTTGAACCATTATGATCTGCTACGTCAAATGTTAGGTTTTTGACTTTTTGTCTTCTGGAAATAATTTACAATTTAAAACAACCAAGATTTATCTGAGATAAAACACCCAAGAATATAGGCCTAAATTAGATTAGAAGATGAAGCATTTCACTATGTATGCCAAACTGTTGCAGAAGTTGTGCAAAGATTTCATATACTAAATGCTTATGTACTTAACATATTGTTGACCAGTGACGAGTTAATTTGACTTTAAATGCCCAAACATTATTGACCAATTAGGAGTTAACTCATCATTGCACTTGGATTATCTATTTCAATTTATAAAATCCAAGGTGATATAGAATATTGCAAAAGTTTTGCACACTGTGTCCAAAATTTAATTTCATTTCCTGCAGTATAAATAAAATGTATTGGAGTTTATTTAAAATGTTTTACCAACTAATATCATAGTTTCATGATATGACATAGTTTCTGTGTAAAATTACCAATTAACAAAGTGTTAAGGCAGATGATACAAATATCTATTTATGAATAAAGTTAGTAAACTGTGAAAAACCATGAAAACAATTATTAAATACACACTAAAGGAATATATACAACCTTACTTTTAATGTACTATTACGGATTTCAGTAACTTTGTTTCAAAAATGTACCATATCGAAAAAACCTGAACTAAACACATCTCTTATATTTTCAAATTATAAAAGAATCAACTTATTTAATAGCTAAAGATAATTAAAATAAATTTTAAAAATACATTAAATAAAATTAAAAGACCTTACTTTGTACATTATTGTATATATTAAACTATTGCAAATTATTGCTTTCTTGATTTAAAAAACCTTATTATATATAAACCAAATGACTGAATACTTAAAAGCAATCGAAACAAGTTTAAAAAATAAACAAAATATTTCATTTTACTCAAAATTGCATCACATAAGATACATCTCTGATGCTAAAATTTGTTGCATAAGAACTATCTCTGCATTTAAATGGGACATTTTCTCTCAATTGAAGTAAATTGAAATACTTTTTCTAATTGCTGCATTTATTTTATTTATAAGTTCTTAACATATTTATACTTGCAAAAGAACTTGTTGGCAGAAAATGAATCTGGATATTCAAATACTTCTTTATACCATCTGCATCTAGTTAAATACTAGCATTAGTTTTTTAATCATTAACGAGTAATTAATCCATATGAAACTAGTAACAAATTATAAATGCTGGATGTTAAACCAAAACGTGTATTGGTGTGACACTCTTGTTAAGATTTTTTTCTGCTACAGTATACTTACTTATACACAAAAGAAATTACAGAAATAGTGTAGAAAACCCAGGAAATGAAATTATCAAATCATATGGCTGTGCCAGAATTGCTATACCAGTCACACTGACTGCAAGCTTCGTAGTTAGACCAAAGAAAACTTAGGACATTTTTTGGACCAGTGGCAATTAACCGGAGCTTATATAAAAAAGACAAATGATAAACTAAAAAAAATTATAATTTGCTCCACTAAAGTGCATTTAAGAAATCACCAGTATCAATTAGTTAATATTCCTTCATATTAATATTTGAATAAAATTTGTAATTGTACCCAAGATTTCCTTAATCAAAATTTTTTCTTTAATGAAGGGTTTCACTACTCTTGTGTTGAAAACACAGTAAGTATGCCACTTAGCATTTTTATACAAAAGTAATTTAGTGCATAATTCCTCAATTCAACACCTAAAAATTCTATGATTTGATGAATTTTTTATTGGAATCGACCATTTTTTAAATCAGGTGAAAAAGATGAAACTGTAAAACTCCATCCTCCAAAAGTTATTATTCAATTTGCTGATAATAATAAAAACCCTTATGACCCATGAGTTCATCACCATAAAAATGTAATAATGTAAAATAGTTAGGTTTTCTTTTTCATATAATGACTGAATTCCTCCTCCCCCCCCCCCAAAAAAAAAGTTCAAAATAAGGAATCCTATGGATGAGGCTATTTGTCTGAAAAACTATTGATTCTAAAAATTATGGAAACTATTGATTCTTCATATCAATAGTTTTAAGATTTGTATTTGTAGAAAATAGAATGTTCCATAGACACATTAAAATGCCGGGACAAAATGCTAAAAATCAAGAAAAAAAAGGACGAAATATTTTTTATCAGGAAAATTAAGACTACTAAAGGTAAGAGCTTTTTATGAAAACTAAATCTACTATTAAAGATGTGGATAATTTCTGTCTTTAAAAATGTTAACGCCTTTTCTATAAGTAATGTATTTCATGTATATATTAAATTCATAATAGAATGTTTATGAAATCATGGACGAAAAGAGTATGTTTATCATCTGTAATTCGTTAAAATATGTGCCTTTGAAGATGTGCTATGAAGAAGATTGCCAATTAGTGTTCTTTTTAGTGGAAATATAAAAAAAAAAGAAATATTTTGATTCAGATTTAGAATGTGAAATATAAAACAGATTGCAATCTTTAAAAAGAATGAGTGATTTGGGGAGGGTCAAGTTTTATTAATAATACCCTGAATAAAAACATATTATCCATGGACATTATTTGTTCAGTTTGTGTTGTTTATTATAGATTATATATGGATACAGATTTTTATGATTTATGAATACAGATTTTTGTTTTTACTCTTATAATAATTTTTACGACTATCAATGCAACATTTTACAATTCTGATTTTGATGAGTGAATTTAATTAAATTTGATGATAATATTTGGGTGATTTAAAATAGAATAAGATATGTACATCACAAATATTAATTATTTTTATTTTGATCTCATGATTTCTGATCTAATAATAATAATTTTTATTTAATAATAATATTGGTGTTTAAATGGAAAAAAAAGTATTTATGTATTTTGATCATAAGTTATTAAATTTGTTTTTCTCATCTATGATAGTTCAATTGATATTATTTTATATGTAGAGAGAGGGAGAGCTTATTCATGTTATTTATCATATTTGTTTATTTTTACAATTTGAAAATATTTTTAAAATTTATTACAATTATTGAAAAAAAAATTTCTTAGGAAATTTTTCTTTTGATTCAGTAAATTAATTATTATAATTAACATAAAAAATATTTAAAGGAATTATTATTTATTTTGTTGTTTTATATGTTACGGCTTATATAATTTATTTATTGTTGGGCAAAATTTAAATTCTGTTTTAAATATTGTTTTTTTTTCAATGCCCACCAGTGTTAACATCCATCAATTCAGGCATATACAGGGCAATTTTGTTGGCCTCTCTTTCAGAGGCACCATATTAGGTGGGTCAATGTTGCTCCCACAGTGAGGACAGATAGTACAGAGAAGGAAAGAACATCCATGCCTTGCCCGGGGTTCGAACCCAGAACCTTTCTGATGCAAGGACAGTTCCCTGCCCCCTACAGAGGCCGGTCAGTGTTTTAAATATTGTGCAAGGTATCCATGCACCTGGAAAGTCATAAATTTCGGTATTGAGCAAAATTTGTCATGAAATGTCCTAATTTTAAATATTTTTTTAAAAAACCATGAAAAATCATGGATTTAGGTTGCTAAAAAATTTTATTTTTAGAATGGGATTCCTCTGCCCCCCCCCCCATATCATGGCGTTCCGAATATCTCAATTTGTAACAAAATCCCCACTCAGAGTCATATTTTATTAAAATATAAAATGTTTTTACCATGTTCTTTAAAAATTATGGTGTTCTTTCAAAGAATGAAAGAAATAATATCATTTCTAGAGTGAAGTATGTTTTAAACTTCTGTGGTTTCAGAATTATTATTATTTTTAATTTGTTATTTTTATTTTATCAATTTAAAATTCTAGCTTAAGCAAGCTAGTTATTGCAAATTTTGTTTTAATTTTGAAATGATAATAGAAAAATCAGGAGCATTTCATTCCTTTCTGTTGAACATGAAAATGATCTTTAGAATATAATCCTGCAGAAAAAAATAATTTTTTGCTCAGCTATAATTTTTTCAGCTATTTTATTGCTTCAACTCTTTCTTTACTCTGTTTTTTAAATCAATAAATATGAAGATGCAGAGTAAAACAGTTTTGGTTATACCTGTCATTTCAATGAATGTTATTAGTGTAACGCTTTTTAAATTTATTATTCTGTTTTTGTCAGAGAAAATTGTAACTTCGATAAGTCATGAAAAGTTCTGGGAATTAGTCATGGAAAGTCATGAATTTCAAAATCTAAAATGTAGCAGATATCCTGATTGTGCCTGGAGTTTAAAAAAAAAGTAAGCAAATAAAATATTTGAATTTTTTTAAATGTAAGACATGTAATTTATTTTTAATGTTTGAAATTATACATTCAACATGGGTAAGGATTTAACCCGCTAAGAAATTTTCCACTACCTAATATGAAAGCATCAAGTAATGTAAAAATTGATACAAATGAGATATAAAATGAATTAAATACTGGTTTTCAAAATTTTAATCATGACAAACCAGAAGAAAAACTAGACATTTTAATGTTTGAGCCGGATATTAAGGTTCAGTTCACAGCCTGACTCAGATTCTAAATTAAATGAAGAGTGGAAACTCTAAAAATTTTCAAAAATTCATAAAGGGTTCAGCTTTGAAATTACTTATTAATAACTGTTTAAATTATAATTCTTTTCAGAAAATAGCCAAAAAATTTCACAAACATTTTTTTCACTTCCTTTTGGCTTTAATGATTTTCAAAATTTTAAATTTTCTGGCCAAGCCAAAGACCTAAACTCATATTTTACCGAAGAGGTGGAGTTAGGGCGAAAAATAAATTAGAATAATCAATTTATAATTGAGGGTTTGTCTATGGGATTACCCCCACAAATAAAGTCACTTTTGGCTCTAAAAGAACCCAAAACCTCATTGATTGGCTAACAATTGTTTCAAAAATAATTCCTGGTGTCCCCACTGTCTTACCCCAAAATGAAAATAAACAGAAAGTGCCAGAATCAAAATTTAGTGGTTATAGACAACAAAATCAACAATCTGAAAGCTGGTCAATGAGACCACAAATTTATAATAATTCGTGACAAAATCAAAAATTTTCCTGGCTAAGTAAAAGGTTCATCCAACTAGGCCAAATTAGATTTAAATTTCTTAAAGAAGGTGACAAATTGAATAAAAATATACAAATCATTTTGCCCAGGCTTCCCTTTTGTTACCTCCTAAGCCATATAAATATTGTGTGATAAGCTAAGAATTAGTAATACTTGTAATGCTTATCTTTGAGGAAATAATTATGTAAACAAAACAGTTTTCTTTACTGCTGAGAATCAATTCCAGCGTATAGATAAGCAAGAAAGTGACCAACCACAAAATTGACAGTTAATAGTATCCTAATACATTCAAAATAAAAATGAAAACATTGAAAATAACAAATGCCTGATTTTGACTAATAAAAATATCTTTTTAAGTGGCAATACATGTAGTAATTTAAATATAATCCCAACTAAAATGTTTGAAAAGTTAATTGTCCAAAAAGAAAGAAAAAACTTTGTAAATGTAAAACAAACAAAAGGAATATTCTTAAGAATGATTTTGATAATGAGGCAGTACATTGTCAGAGTCATGTTTACAGAATAATGCAAATCCAAGATAGTGAAGAGAGAAAAAATCCCGACTTCAGGAAATTCCCAAAACTTTTTCAAATATTTTATATTGACATATTAAATATGAAAAGTAAATTATAAATAAAGTGAAATTTTTAAAAGAAGGTTGGCTGAAGGGAGGCAGTCGAATAATATTGATTTAGATATCTCCTAATTTTGTTAAATTGTTCTGGATATAGGGTTAACTAATGTAAACAAGGATCATACATAATTATTAAAAAATCTTCTGATGTTAATTATAAAATAAATAAAAAGAATATCCATGATAAAGAAAATACAGTAATAGTTCATGCATCAAAATTGTAAAGGCACCCACCTAACAAACTAAAATTATCTCATGAGTGACAAGTAAGTGTACTAATTCAAATACTAATGTAATTTAATTGTTGAAGTGATTTGAAATTTAATTTTTAATGTATATTTTGTATTAAATTTAATACTTCAATGGGTTTTTCATTGTTAAATATAAAATTAAATTTTAAAAAAATAACAATAAAAAATACCGAAGATGACCTGACAAAACATGGTTTGGATGAACATGTTGTCCCCTTTTTCTGGAAAATCTAACCTCCTTCAAGTTTTCTTTGCATTTAGCGTTTACCCATATCTGACAAAAAGATATGGGACAATGGTTGATTCTTTTTTTTCTGATTATGGTCAACACCATAAAAAGATAAAATGTTTATAATATGTATCTTATATATGTAACCGGAATCTTCCAGTGCAACAATGCTGAGATTTGGGACTATATTCCTCCTTTTGGAGATTACAGCCTCTTATCCTGTAAAATGCCCCTTATACTGAAGTCTTAAATTTCAGAATAATGACTAAACAGAGTAAACAATGCTGAAGTGTTTAACTTCAGATTAAATTTTTTTTTCCAAATAAGTCAACTGTTTTCTTACATTTCATGTTTTTGCATTTTTGAAGTGTTAATAATTTTTTTTTATTTTGATCGAAAGGTTTATTTGAATTGTATTATATTGAGGAACAATATTTTTTAGTGAAATACTTTATTGTGAACTTTTTTAACTTTGAAACTTACTTTGAACTGAAAAACTGTTGAGTCATAAAAATTGTTAAAAATTAAGATCAAACTCTCCAATTTATTAGTAGACGCGCTACTACAAAAACTATTTTGTACAACATTTTAATTGTGTTAAAATATTTAACACGTTTATAAAAGTATATTTTTTGTAATTTATATTACTTTTATATATTGATTTTTTATTCAATTTGTAAATTTTATTCTTTTCATGTTAATTGTGCTTCTAACATAGAGAAAAATTGCAAATAAATAATGTTTTTTCTTTCGATGGTAATTAAAATTTTTCAGGGAAGAGGGATATAATATAAAAAGCTTCAACTAGTTTTATGTTATTTCTTTATCTAAATCTTCTTAATTTATTCAAAATTAAACGCCTTCTCACACTTTATTATTCACATCCGCCATTTTGGTTCTATATTTAAATCTTAAGTATGCATGAATTAACTTTTTAAATTTTCCCTTAAACCGAACCGTGAGAACCATATTATTCCCTGGACCTATTTTATAGACCCATTGTTATTATTAATGTTTCCCTTTTTGCATGTGACTTCAGAGGTCATGTGGATTATTTTGCAAGATTTTCCCTAATTTTTATTAAGGAGCACTTCGATTTTTTGTCACTGGATCGTTCTCTGATAATAAGGGATTCATTATTATCAGAGATTGATCTAACGATAGAGAAATAAGGTTTTATTTACTTTTTTTTAATCTTGTGCCTGTCTCCCCAGCTTGTCCGACTGTCATCATAATAATTTAGCTTAATATTCTCTTCTAATGTTGTATAAATTGGTTTAAGCTGATTTAAAATAATGCTAATTCATACTTGTTTATTAATCATTTTAAGTTTTTTTTATTTTTTTTAAACAAAACACTATTATTATATCTACTAATATATATTTAATATCACTTACTAATTCTAATGTGGTATTAAAAAAAACAAAATTTTAATATTTAAAATATATATATATATATACAAGAATACATTAAAATTAAAACTTTATGCTATTATCTCATTTAAGGATAACATTATACTCAACTAATATTTATTGTCATTGTATACAAAGAAAAAAAAGAGACATTGACTTGATAAATAAATTTATTCTTTTTGATATTTATTAATACGAGTAAGTTAATTTCTCGACCTTATCTTAATTTTCTGATGGATAAAGGTTTCAATTATGTCAGTTATGCTTTTTTTTATTGTAAATGATTTTAACTGAGATTAATTAAAATCAATATTTAAATTGTATTTTTTAAAATTCCATTTAGAAATAAAATTAAACTACCTACTAATTTATTTTTAATTATTATTTGTAGTATTAAAATAAATTTATTAGGATTTAAATGGCTGTTTGTTATTACATAGACTGAAAAATATTTTTTTTTTCCTTTTCATTAGTATGAAGACTGTTCTTTTCAAGATTCGGAGATCTTAATAAAGATGTTGAATTACCTTTATACTTCATCAAGGTCGCCACCCAACTGGAAACCTGGAATTATCAGGGAATTTTTTTTATACTGGAAAAACCAGGAAAATTCAGACAAAAACCTGGAAAAATCAGGGATTTTTAAGGAAGAACTTGAATTTCTTTCTTTTATTTTTCTTAATTTAACTAATTTAAATTATTTATTAATTTTCTTAGTTAACATTATTTTACCATCTGTTATACCCACTTTTAGAGGAAAATTTATTGCCAAGCAGTTGAAATACCATCACCTTAGCAATACTTCACTTGCATCAAAATTTGGTCCATTATAACCTTGTTAAACTAGAATCCCACTTGAAACTCACCCCTAATTACTAAATGAATAGAGAATCCTTCCACCTCTTTGGGAGTCGATTGGACTATGCAGTTTAGGGAGGACAAAGATTCTGGAGGATGTGAAAGAAAGGGTTAGGATATTTGCTTCTATTTATAAAAGTATGTTTTTTTTTTCTTCCAGTAGGTAGACTGAATCCATTTATCGTTCTACTTATTGTTTGACAAAATTATTCAAAATATTTCAGTATTTTTAACTTTTATAAGATTCTCCAAAAGTTAGTTGGTCATAATTTAGCAACAATAGATTTTTATTGCACCCTTTTTCTGAAAGCTTATGTGCTCTCATCCAATGAAATCCATGAAATATTTTTTCTCAGCTAAGCCAACCAATCGCACATTTTTTTATAATCTCTAACAGAAATGTTTGTCAACAAATCGTAACAATTATTGCAGTAATGCTAATTTTCTTGATTTAATTTTAAACTTTTATAACGTATTCTAATTTTAAAAAAAAGTTCTTTTCAAAACCAACTATATATTAACATTTAATTTTACTGTTTCGTTGGTAAATATTTAACTTTTGATTCAAAATTAGATTTGTGCAATAATCACAATGTCGAGAGTTGGTAAATGTTGCTTGCAATCCAAAGATGATATTTCAGAAACTGTTTCTCTTTTTACCCTTACAAGCAGGCAAAAACTAAGGAATGTTTGGGAAACATGCTAAATCATGAATAAACATAAAATATTAAAAAAAAACCTTATTCACATGAGTTTATTAGAAAGAAGTAAAAAGAAACTTTTTTTTTGTTCTGCACTATAGAGGTACGGGTTTCCAATTGCAAAAACAATTTAAAACAATATATTCTACAAGCTAAACATATATTTTATTTTATTATTATTGATATATTTATTTTATAACCGTCAAACAGCTGTCCCAATTTTTGAATTTACGACTACTAATGTTTAACAGCCTTGTAGTTTTGAATCCAATCCAAAAGATAAAAAAACTCTTAAATCAAGTATTAGGCGAAATTTTCCTCTGTGGAAGACTTTTCGGATGAACTAACCAGCATTTGCGTCAAATGGAGAGAAAAATGATGAAAACCTACCACAGTAGCCTGGTGGCATGATTTGTCTGTCACTGAAGATATTTTACATCAACAATGTGAGCCGTGTGTGGAATTGGTTTTAATCAGCCATCACTGGGATTCAAACCCAGGTTACCTCATACCCATGAGGTGACCAGGCTGGCACTCTATTCCCTGAGTCAAAGATGATAAATAGCATTTTAAATAAAATACTTTATAATATAAAAATTTTTCTTGTATCGATCCTATGCTTTATGAGGAAAAAATAACACATTGACCTGGAAATTTTAAGATTTTTACCTGGAAAATATCAGAAAAATTTGAAACCTGATTTGAGTGGCAACCCTGATCCTCTGACCTTCTGAATCTAATTTCATTGAGAGAAAGAAACATGTCCTCTTATAACTCATATTGTAGTGCTATAGTGACTGCAAACTTATGTGTTAATCATCACCATTGTGTTGTTAATCATCATCATCAGTATGTCCACCCACGTGGAATTATCAGGGAATTTTTTTATATGGGAAAAAAACTGAAAAATCAGGGAATTATAAAGAAAAGCTGGAATTTTTTTCTTAATTTAAATTATTTTACCATCCGTTGTGCCCCCTTTTTTTAGATGAAAATTTATCGCCACATATTTGAAGTAACATCAACTTAGCAATACTTTGCTTGCTTTGAAATTTGCTTCATTATTACCCTGTGAAACTAGAATGCTACATGAAACTCTCCCATTGTTGCTAAATGAATGGAGAAACCTTTGACCTCTTTGGAAGCTATGTAGTTTAGGAAAGGCAAAGATTGTGATAAAGGTGGAAGAAGGGGATAGGGCATTTGCTTCTGTTTATAAAAGTAGGTGCTTTTTTTCTTCTAGTTCGTGGGCTGAATCTATTCAGTTTCAAGTTTGTTCCGATGCTGTGGGGGCATTTTTTGACAGATTAAAAATTATTTAATAACGTTATAAAATTCTCCAAAAATAAGTTGATTATAATGATATAGATTTTTTATTCACTTTTTTTTAGAAAACTTTTGTACTCCCATCCAATGAAATCGGTAAATAATTTTTTTCAGCAAAGCCAACCAATCACTCATTGTCTTACGATTGCTGACAATGTTTGATGCAAATCATTAGAATTGATGCTAATTTTTAAATTTCATTTTACCCTTTTATAACACATTTTATTTTTTTAAAAAAAAAATTTTACGACACAACTATATGTTAACATTTAATTTTACTGTTTTGTTTATAAATATCTGATTATTGATTCAAAATTTGAATCGTGTAGTAATGACTATGTCGAAAGTCTGTAAATGTTGCTTACATTCCAGAGGTGATAACTGTTTCTCCTTTTATTCTGAATGAGCTGGCAAAAACTAAGGAATGTATGGGAAACATGTTAAATTATGTATAAACATAGAATTTATAAAACTTTATTCATTTATGTTTATTAGGAAGAAGGGAAACAAAAACTTTGTTTTTTTGTTCTACACTGTACAGGTACAAATTTCTAGTTAGGCAATTCCACAGTAATGTCAACCAGATAACCAGACATTTAAACTTGTTATTTTAAAGCGACCAAAGTATCATTTTCAAGGTAAAAAATTGAAGATTTAGAAATAAAGACTTTTAACTTATAAATATCAGTTTTCAATTAGCTATAGGCTGTTAAATGAAAGACTATATCATTTAAAATTTTTAACCACAACCACTACTAGTGAATCTCTAACAAGCGCAGTTTTTCTCAAAAATTCACACTAAAATTAGAAAATGGACTAAATAATAATTAAAGAAAATTGTAACAAGACTGGTTATCTTGCGCAGATGTGTAGAAACATTTCACATTTTGATTTACAGAACAATTCTCAATACAGCTTTGATATTTTACATCCGACACCAAAATACATAATTAATTGTACTGTGCCACTAGGATTTAACATAATCCAATTACTTTTTCTGTATAAAGCAAGATTCTAACTCTTATTTCTATAGTCTATTTTGACTTTTAAAATAATGTTTTTATAGTGAATTTATAATTAATTATTTTTAGGTCCAGCTCCACTGCTTTTTATTCAATTGCATTTGTTTTTATTTATTTTCATCAACATATAAAATGAAGTGAAATATTACCAGGAACCATATAAATATTCTTTTAGATTAATTTACATTAATGTATTTCACCTCAATAACCTAATGAAATCTGCTTAAGTATGCTGTACTTAAAGTTATTTATGTTAAAACATAAAATTGATCAATGACGTTTTTTATAGTTTTAAATTTATTTTAGTTATTTGAGGTAAGCAACTCAATTTTAATTCTTTTGGCAACAATTTAATTTCATTTAGCACATTTTAAATCAAATAATTTTACTTAGAACTTCAAAAGTGTATTTAGATAAAAAAAAAATTGTGTATATATATATTTGAGAAACGCAACTCAGGCCTATATTCAGAAACCGTTCTTGAGTTTAAGCGCATGCTTATACTTAGGTTAGCACAAATGCTTGCTAAAGGGCTGTCATATGCATTCAGATGTTAAGTACCAAATCTTGCTGATACAAACTAAGGTGTAGTTAGGGCTTATGGCACTAAGAAAAACTCAGTCCCCCCCCCCTGAGATAAACAATATTTAAATGATATGTCAGATGTAAAGGAACTATTTGGGACTGTTATAAATTTAGATTGTGTAGAACTAAATTCATTAAATTGATTGTACATTGTATCGTCATTGTACAAACATTCATTCGATTTGGTTTAAAATTGAACAGTTTCTGTTACGCTTAAATGTTTATTGTTTTTGAGAGATACCTATTTATTATTTATCCAATTTGTAAAAAATAATTTAAGAATTAATAAACCTACATGCTAAGCAAACTTCAACAATAATTCACTTTCTATTCAATTTTTAGGTAAATAGGATAAAAGTTGTTAGCAGTTATTTGACCTGTAATTGGCAAATTTTAACTTGATAGGGAAGATAAAAATGAGAGATAAAAATTTATTTTGAAATTCATTTTAAATTATTTCTTATAAATTTAAGGTATCTCTAATGTTAACAATTAACAATAAACAGAACAATTAACTAATCTAAACTAAAACACCATGTGGTTAGATAGGAATTCTTTAAATGTTGTACTTTAAAATAGGAAAAAGAATAAAAATTTGAAAAATTTTATCTAGTTTTTTTCTTTTGAATATGCTACAAGAAATTTTGCATTTGCAATAATAAATAATAATGCTAAAATAATAATGCTAATTCAAAACAAATAACATTATTTAAACATTTGATTTTAGACATTGGTTTAAAGAAAATAGGATTTATGAATTATTTAAAGAGAGCTGATAATTAAATACTCCATAAAATGGCTCTATATTGAAATGTATATAAATATAAAAATTTGTTGATTATAATTGCCTGGAATTTTTTTCTTTTGCTTTAATGAAAATATATTAAACAGTAGTTATCCAAGGTTTTTTGGGTCACTCTCTATTTGCCATTTGGGTACACTTTGTGCGAAAACTACTTAAAGTAACTCATTAAAAAGATTTTTCAATAAAGACAATATATTGTACAAACTAAACATATTTTCTCCACATCTATCTAAATTTTTAAAAATTAATGTTGTACCTTAACATTATAAATTAAAAACAAAATCTTGCTAAGTTAAAATAAATCTAATTTAATTATTTTTTCTACATGATTTATTAAAAAAAAAGCATATATTATTACACAATTCATGATATTAACCCTTCTCTTGTATCCATCCTACACTATATGAGAAAAAAAAAACATGCTGACATGGAATTTATGAGATCTTTGCTTGGAAAAATCAAGGAAATTTAAAACCTGATTTAAGTGGCCACCCTGATTATCTACTATTTTGATTTTGTGCATGCAGCCCAGCATATTTTTATTTTGATAAATCTTGTTCTTGTTTAAGAATATTACAAAATTCATGAATTAAAACTTGTTGTAGATAGCTTTTGGTCCAATATCAGTGTTGTGTGCTTAGATAACTTTTGGCTTTACAATCTATTTTTTCAGAGGTTTCTTATATAAATTAAGATAAAAAGTGTCATTTCTTATTGTTTTTTCTCCATAAAGAAGTTGAAATCAAATTTTTCTAATTAAAGCTAGGTTAATTACATAGAAAAATGTTACTGACCTGCTTTTAATATGTATAAATGAGATGTAAAGAAAATACCATTTTAATAAAAATACAGTACAGAACCCGTTATCCGGAAATCAGAAAACCGGAACGAAATTCGATAAATTTTTCCGCCATTTTTTAAAACAAAAATTTTTCATAAGATTTTAGGATTTTTCCTTCTTTTTTGAAAGATGTTTACCTTACCATCATTTTGGAAATAATCATTAGTGTATTACTCCATTGTGTTTTCTTCTTTTTAAGATTATTTCCACAAAAAAAAAAAAATTTAGTTTGGTTTAACTATTAAAAAAACGGCTTTTTGTAGCGATTCAGAAAACCGGAAAAATCAGTTATCCGGGATAGCTATGGTCCCGATCGTCCCGATAATCGGTTCCCTACTGTATAATTATATAGTTATGATCCTTAGGATAAAAATATAGTGGTAGAAATAATTATGTCAGTTTGTCTTAAAAACAAAGTTCATGTGTATAACAATTTTAATAAAATTAAGTTCCAGTAGTTTTTCTTTTTATTTTCAAACTTATGCAACCCTAGCTTTTCTAACTGTTAACAATTCAAAAAACTAAATATCTTTACTAATGATATTTGTTTACAAATTAATTTTATATATTAATTATTTTTATATATCAAATTGTTACATAGGCTAATAATAATTTGTTTAGAAAATTCATTACTTTGTAATTACTTATAAGTAATGAAACTCTAAAAAAATTTATAATTTTAGTTAAAACATTTAATTATCACTTTTGTGAATATTTTCAAAGACATTTGTAACATCAGATATACTTAATACTGATACCCAAATGATGTATATCAATAATTCTACGTGTATGTCGGGTATTTATTTGATGCTACAATTATTACTTTTAGTAATTTTACATGTATTTATCTAATATATATTGAATACTTTATGGACATGTTCACTATTGTACAAATATGTTAATATTTTTCTGATTTATATTGAATATTTATCAAATATGCAAGGTATGAATTCAAATTAATGGATGGGGACAGAACTGTTTGAGTTATTACTCTTTAAAAAAATGATATTATTCCTTCAAAATAAATTTTGTCATACACTAGATTATTTCAAAAAACAGTGATCCATTATATTGTACCATTCTTTTGACAGATTAGTATTTCTTAGCCTCAAAATATAAGGGGTAGCTGCAGTCTGGGAAATATGGTCTCTATAGTTTGGTCTGAAGAAAAATGACTTTTAGTAAATATTTATTATTATTTTATTAAATAACAGTAAAAAAATTTGAATTGTTAGGTACACATTTTATTACATCATTATAAAGAATCTAATTTTACTTGACAAAATACAAAATTTGAGTGAAATTAGTTGAATACTTTCTAAGAAATTAAATTTTTAAACTTACAACTTTCACAGGAACTATTTAACCGATTTCACTCAAATTTTGTATTTTATCATTAAAAGTTGCATTCCTTAAGAAGTAAAAAATTGTACTTTACCTTTCAATTCTAAATTTCATCTTCTTCGTCAGCACTACAGCCTAGTGCAGGCCAACGCTTTCTTAATTAGCTGCCTCCAGACTTTGAGCTAGATTTTTCTACCTGTTTATTCCCAACAATTTTAAGTCCTCAACACTGTCCAACCATCTTGTAGCTGGTCTCCCTCCTCTTCTAGTTCTTTCAATTTTCGAAAAAGTAAGTTTTTTTAACCAGGTTCAAATCTTCACACCGAAAAACGTGCCCCAGCCATCTGATCCTGTAGGCCTTAATAACCCTCAAAATATTAGGTAATCCATATTTGTTGTATAACTCATGATTATATAAACTTCTCGAGATATTATTTTTCTTAACTGCTCCATAAATTGACCAAAGGATCTTTCTTTCATAAATGAGTAGCCTATTTTCCTCTGTTTTATTAATTGCCCAGGTCTCACTACCATATAGAATAATTAGTCTGATTAAGATTAAATTTTATCTACTATTATTAAATAAAATAATTCCATTCAAAAATTGACTTTTAGTAAATATTTATTATCTTTAAATGAAAAAATTTTCAATTGGCTTAAACAGCTCTTGACATATCACGAAATACCCTTTTGGCGTTTAAAAAGCCAAATATATACACAATAAAAATTTATGTTTATTCAGAGAAAGTAGGTTTTTGTGTCCAATTTTGTAACTTAAAATATCATCAACCTTGATTTACTAGCATATTTGAAGTAAGGCCCTCGAGTCATTATGATTAAGTCCTGGAACTGGAAGATCAGATCATTAAATCAAAATTTATTCACTGTGGTCTTTTTTTTTTTTTTTTTTCAAANAGTTTTGTTTCATTCTTCTAAAGGCAGTACACATAATTTGGATATTGGTCGTTTAAATATGCCAGTTTTTGTTCTGACGTCTACAACGCGAATGTTATTATCCTTACCACAGGGTTCCCACTCTATGATGAGATTGAAATTCAAGGACTTTCCAGGACTTTTCAAGGACCTCAACAAAATTTTCAAGGACCTTAATCTAAGCCCAATTTTAAAAATTATTCTCTTCTATTTTACTAGAAGCAACAATGCTTGTTGTGGCAATAATNTTTTCAAGCACTTTCAAGGACCTAAATTTAGCAAAAAAAAATTCAAGGACCGTGGGAACCCTGTTAAAAGAATATATTTTTAGATTCCCAATGTAGTTTCACTCCTTAAAAGAATGCTATAAAAGATTATACATTAAATCTTTCATTATAGCAGCCCGCTCCACTGAATGCTGCAAAATGTGTTCATTGCATCTTAAGATTAATATTATATTTTTCTTTAATACCTAACAAATACTTCACTTCTAAGTATAACACATAGAATAAACTTGTAACATATTAATAAGCGCATTCAAAATGTACTTTTAGTGGTATTTATCTAATATATGTCAATGAAATATTAGTTGCAGATAGAGCCTGTTATCAAATGGTATAACTCTGATGCGGGCAAAATACACACTTCACACACGGGGCATTGCCTGAATGCCTGTTAAATACACCAATCAAAACAAAAGGGTTAAGAATTTTTATAAAACTTAATAAAAGCTACTCATTTTCACTCCTATGAACAGTGATCCCCTTGAAGAGAAAACTTCTGATCCCAGACAGAGCTTCGGTCCTCTCCCCCTTAATTTGGTCTTGCCTTTTTATAATGTTCTCCACCCTAATTAATAGCAGATAGTTTTTATAGTTAAGTGTAAAGAAGAGGTTAAATTTCATGCGACTGTGTGGGGACAGTGTGTATGTGCTCCTTCAATAATTAGAAATTTCTTCAAGTCCACACTAATACGAACAAATAAATGCATGAATCATCAACTTAAATTTACCTAAAATAAAAAACCTAAGAAAAAAATATTTTTGCAGATATTTAGCTGATGGAAGACTTTTTTAATTTGAAATTTTTAAAATTATTGTAACTATGTATTTTAATTTAGTCCCTTCAGAAATTGGACAACTGAGATGTTCATGTTAATTTCATCTGGTAGTCTAAAAGTTAGTCGATTGAATAATCTCACACTAAATTTTACAATACATCAGAAAAAAAAATCACAGTTTTTATTGTTCATTATCAAAAATAATAATAATTTTGAAGAGTTAGAAAAACAGACTTATTTTACAAATGATAAAATCCTTGACATAACAGAGTGAAAGTATTTCAACAACACTAATAAATTAATTTTTTTTTAAAAAATAACACTAATATTAGTCAGAAAAGATCCCATAAAAATTTTGAAGGTAAAATCTGCCAACTTTCAACAACATTTTCAAAGTTCATTGTTAAGCTCAGAACAGTTAAGTCCTTAATACCATTATTTTATTGGTTTAATGTTCCAGTTGCTTTCAGCTCTCTGTCTTGATATGAATGATCATTCATAATTTTGTTAGGATCAGCCCACTGTTGCCGGATTGTTACATAATCCGGCTCATCATCTCCAAATGCAGTGATGAGTACATTCACAACAGTAATTAAGAAGATAATGATGACAATTATGTTGTTTGTTATGTTAGCAATGTTTTGTTCCTTTCGTTTGTTAATGTTCCACCGTCCAACTACCACCAAAAGAATTCCAACTAAAACCTGTAAAGAGGTAACTATTACTAATTGAAAATTTTTAAACCGGGTATCTCTGTAATCACTTTTTCGTATATTTTTAAAATCCTAGTCAAAACAAAAAAATGTACACATTTTAATTACAATTTTTACACAAAAAGAAAGTTATTGAAACCAAACAAATTATTAATATGAAAAGCAAGAATGAAGACACCAAAACATGTTTGATTGCAGGATGAAATGAAAAGGATGTGTAATGTGATTCCAGAAACACCAAGTTAGCAATTAAACTGATTGTTTTTAATCATGCCGTCCTTAATTGCTAGATTTTGATAACATTAATGTTTCTCCTTACTTAAATATCAATTATTAACGACCACCAATGTTCATTTTTACTACTTTTTTTAAAGAAACTTTAAAATATAGGATAAGAGCAGTGATTACAGAATACCCTACCCTGTTTCACGAAACATTTTATGTCCAGTTTTTATTCCAGTCAAAATTGAATTTTTGTTGAGGTCTGAGTACTACTTGGAAGATTTCATGGCATACAAGTTTAATCACATTACTCTATTATGCACTTCTATCATCTAATATTGCATTTATCGAAATCTTGCAGCAAAAAAAAATTCAGGTATAACCAGAGCTGCAAAAGAGTTGATTTTTATTTTAAAAAGAGACTGAATTTTCTTTAAAACAAGCAGACCTTTATTGGAATTTTTTTTTCTTTTATCTTATTATTCACATTTAACATATACATGAGTTTACATTAAATTTACTAGTTCGATCTCTAATACTTTGTAGATTAAGTAGCTAATGTGGGGAACATTATCACTTCAACAACAAGTATATATATATGTATTTGCACTATGATTTAAGCTATCTGTGTCTTTAAGTTCCAGAATTTTAAAAAATAATTGGTGAAAATAAAACTTGGTATTCAGTTACGAACAATTTTTATTAACGCACATCATGTACTTATAAAATGCTATAAAGGTAGCATTGAGCTTTTCAGTATATTAAACTATTAAAAAAAATCAATTATGCATCTCCCTTTAAGCCTCTAAAATTGAGGTTCCAAAAACTACAAGTTCTGTTATTCAGGAAATTTAATTATTTATAATAAATAGCATAAAACTTGATGTGTACAAATTTAAAAATTTGTAGAGCATCAATTTTGTACAAAAAAATACGAATACTTAGATTTAATGCAGTGATAAAAAATTAATGGGTTTCGTGTAAAGTAATTTGCTTGTATGAATGCTTAGTTTTGATAATTAGCAAGTATAGACGAATGAGCACTGATAATTTAAGAGTGTTTTCTTCGAACTCTTTTTTTTCTGTTATGTTGCAACAAAAGGGAGTAAATTATGAAGCATAGTGAAAAAAAATTGGATCTTAACCATTACGGTCCAACGCAGCCATGTAATAGGCGCACAGTGGTCTGAATTGAAAGAAAACTAGTTATGAGGATTGCAAGTTTATCGCGTCGCAAATTTCTGGAATGATTTTCGTAAGTTACCATATCCTAAAATCCGCGAATTTATTCAAACAGCTTCGATTTGCGCATTGTATTTTTTTTTCCAGCAATTATTACTTTTCTGAAAATTCACGGTCGATAATGTATAATTATCAATTATGCATATAAAAATCCCGATATAAAGAACCTCAGTGCATGCAGGTGCATATTATATAGATAATTTATTTTTCTTTAGTATGTTTGTGGTCCGTTGAAATTTTCAAAGTTTCGTTTGAATCTTCCGCGAATTTTGGTCCTTTTTCCTGTGATAAACTTACAATCCGAGTCATAAGTCAAAGCGTAGTTATAATAAGACTTTTGCTATATGCTGTTGTTCTTTTAGATTGGTTATGATTGCAGATTTTTTTGAATTTATCTTCCAAAAAGTTATTAATTGAATCAGCTTTAGTTTATGTTGCTCGTTTGCAAAATTATTAAAAGACTTCATGTTTTGCAGTAAAGGGTTGTATACTTTTAATTAATACTAAAATAAGTATTTTCTGTCAGATTAACTTTCAAAACTATTGTTTTCTATTAATAAGATCAGTCAAATTAGTCTCAAACTCTTCTTTTTGAATTGTAAGGTTTACCGGCCTTGAAATGCTGGAATCAAGTGCACGGAGAATATTTTTAATAATTGTTGGGAGAAAAAATATACGCTGTTATGATTTTCCGTTATATTTATCTGTCGTTCAACACAATAAGTTAATGGAGCAAAAAAAAAAAGTTAAAAATTAATATTGTTAAAATTTCCAAAATGTTAACGTCTTTTTAAATTGAAAAAAACCTTCAAAAATGAAGATCAAGGGGGACAGAATAGTAATTTTTCACAAAAATAATTGGATCGTCTTCTGTTGCATTTTGAATTTCGACAAATTAATAGAGTGCAAAATCGGTTTTTCCCTGAGAGAGAGGGATTTTTCAGCAAAAAACCGTTCTCTTCAAACTTGATTTTTCAAATTTTATTTTTCTTCCAACGTTAAAAGTCGTAAATTTTGTTTTGAAATTTTTGAGGGATATAAATAAATACTCGTGACAATCGTATATATTTTTATTTTTACGATTTCAATCTAATTTCTCCTGGAGAATTCTCCAACATTAAAATTTATTTTAATCAAATTCAGTTTTCATGGACATAACCGTTTTCCCCCCATCTTGAAATTTTTTTCTTTGTGATTACATTGTTCTATGGGCATAAAGCTATGAAAAAAAATGGCCTTTTATACCTACTTTTCTCCAGTTTTTTCCCCTACCACAGTGCTGCGGTAGTTAGCAATTTTACTAATTGGGACTAATGTCGAATATATGGCGGCAAAAATAATTTTATTGTTGTCATATTTGCAATTTAATTAAAATTAATTCTATGGTTAAATTCAATATTATAATTTTCCTTAATGCGAAGGCAACTAGTACTCAAATTTGTAATTTGTCGGATAATTAAATTCAGCACAGTTAAGGATTAATATTTCAACCGAATATTTTTTTTTAAAAAAAGAAAGAATTTTACAGCAACACAGTGCATACGCACGGTTAAATCAGCTGCTTTTCAAAGTAATCTAACCCAACAATATATTAACTACCCCCAACAGAAAATCTTGAATAGCATCATTTCAGATAACTCGCCTCTGTTTATTTCCCATGACAAATTCTGTTTCACCTACATCGGCAATTCAAAATATAGAGGGGGGGAAGAGTGCATTAAAACCTAGAGTAAACCATGAAGTTTTGAACGCTGATTTTGCAAGCCAATTGATATGCAGGGCCGGCTGATGCATGTCGCGGCCCCTAGGCAATGCTCGGCTATTTTTTCGCTAACACAACACTTAATTCATAATTACGCTGTTTCTTACTGCATAGGTATATTATCACATTATTCAATAAAAATATTGAATCAAACGAAAAGAATATAAGTAATTAATATATGCATTTAAAAAAAATCATACAATAAGCTTAAATATTAACTCTTCTAACTTTTTTTGTTACAAAATCGTTCAAGACATCCTGAAAGTTAACCTTTTCCAATACATCATTTTNATGCGACTGATCTGCTCTTGCTGTACAGTCATCTGATTAGTCGGCGTTAAAATTACCGCGATAAAATTGCTTGCGATTATATTACTGCGTTATATATGAACTAACTACCATAATATTAATATCTAATTTGGAATGCGTTCAGAAATGTACTAAAATAGCGTCGATGTAATGTACAGAGCAAGACAATCGTCATTGAAATTTCGAATTAAATTTTTACTGTTTTAGAAACATTGTCAATTTTTTTCTCTGTTGCACAGGACCCCTAGGCAGTTGCCTACAGTGCCTAATGGATAAAACGGCCCTGTTGATATGTATTAAGTGTGAGTGTTCAGAAAACCAGTCACATTTTTCTAGATCGCTGAACGCTTTGCTGTTTCATCCTGAAAAATATAGGTATCAAAAAGCCACCAAAACATGGTGAGTCACCCCTAGAGAAATACTTCAGTATTTCTCTAGGACTGACTCTCTGATTACAAAAAAAAGAAATAGAAAATTATATTTAAATGTACGATTTAACTTTTCCCCCTATAAAGATTTTTGTACATATTATCATAAACTCTATATGCCTTTATGCACAAACCTTACACACAAAAAAAATATATGTATTTATTACTCGTTTTAGATCAATTTTAAGTACTTTCTCTTGCAATACCTTTACATTTTAGAATAAACTTTATTACCTGTAAAGTCATGGAAGATCCAATGAGAATCAGATTGATCAAATAGTAGTCATGCGTATCAGCAGTAGCAAGAACATGTTTCAATTGTGAAGCATTAGCAGTCAAAAGGGCAATATCCAACATACCTTGAGCAACAGTTTTTCTGGTAGCATAAATGTTTGCGTCCAAAGGACATTGCTTTTCAGTTTCTCTCTAAAGAATAAAATACCATTGTCATATCAGAGTTTTTATTATATATAGTAAGTATTGCATTGATATATTTTGCTGTGGCTATATTAATACAAAATTAGAAAGCACTATTTTAGCGGATATTATCGTGTGAGCTGACAACGAGATAATATCTTTTTGTTTATCGGCTTTTTGAAATATTTTATTATTCTTGATTTTTCGTACTAGGGATCTATACTTTAATAATACTAGACTATACATAAATGCTAGTTGACATAAGCTCCCTATTCGCTGCCGCTCACCAACCTCGATTGTTTTGAGATAATTGTTTCTTTGAGATAACAGTTTTTCAACGAAGGTTGAAATTATCCTCTTATTTGTGTACTAAAAAGAATTATGTCTGCTTGTGCCGCCCCCCCCCCTTCTCACGTCTAAAAATTTCCAGTAAGATTCTAATAGAACGTAAGTAATTTTTCTAAGTAATCATTTCTTAAAATAATATTTAAAATTGAAAGTATATTGTTTTAACAAATTTGATGAGTTCGCAACCGTAATGTAATATTTCTGCTTACCAAACAGACGGATCTATTAAATGCATTTTTAGCATGCATCACATTGTATAGGAAGCTGTTCGTTAAGTTCTAAATCATTTGACGAATCTCTTGAACCGTAATTTATAATAGTATATTAATGCAATTTGCACAAAAAATAATAATTGTAAAATGGTTAATAAGGTTGAGACACCGATTTATAGAGCTATCTTAAAATGTAGAGTTACATTTAAAAAAAACAAACTATTTTCTTAGTTTTAAATTCTTAATTTAAAAAACTCTCAAAATCAAAATGCTAATAATAGCAGTACAGGTAAATACTTGTAAATTAGGGATTTGTCTTTTATTAATTTTTTGTTGATGACAACCAAAAAATATGGGAAAACTGGATCCAATTCCGGCCAATAAAAATGCACCGACAACAATCAAACCGTAATAGATCATTTTGTTGTATATATAAACATTAGAAAAATAATAAAAAAAATTTGATGGAAAAGCGTAAAGGTTCTCGTCAAAACGCATTCCTTTACGACAGCGAAACAGATATTTCAGTGTAAAGAATAATTATAAGATAAAAATCTCTCTTAATAATGCGTCTATGCCTCTAAAAAAAATTTTTAAGTGAGTTTCAGATGAAAGAAAACAAACTTACCGGTATGAAGTAAAATATAATAAGCATGTGTTAAAATTAGCTATACTAATCTAACATTCAACAAAAATTGTTAAGAAGAAATATAATGAATGTGCTCTAAGCTTTATTGTATAAAACAATTGGTAAAAAAATATATGAAGCAAATTACATTTCAGTTAGTTATAGTTAATTTACGTCGCACTAGAGCTTCACAATGGGCTATTGGCGACGGTCTGGGAAACACCCCTGAGGATGATCCGAAGACGTGCTGATCACAATTTTGATCCTCTGCAGAGGGGATGGCACCCCCGCTTCGGTAGCCCGACGACCTGCACGCGAAGTCGAGCACTTTACGGTAGAACAGTTTAACGAGGACCAATACCGCACACCCTCGGTCCTTACGCAGACTGACCGTAGCCAGTGATGCAAATTACATTTCAATTCGGCCATCTATGAAAAACACTTTAATAATAATTGGAAAAATTTAGCAACAAAACCCATAACACGTAAAGAAGCTAATGCATAACACTTTTTTCTTGCGGATATTATCATGTAAGCTGACGACGAAATTATACCTTTTCGTAATTTTATTTCTTTTTCAAAATATTTTATTAACAATTTTTCATACTAGAGGGCTATACTATATTAATACTAGGCTATATATAAATACTAGGGGGTCTTAAGCTCCCTGTTGGCTGCTCACCGAAAACGTACATAAAACCCTATTATTGCGTGCAGGGAATTAGCGAGCTTTTCCTACAACTTCTGATATTTATTAAAGTTGTCAGAAAAAATTATTCGCCTATGCATGGTTATTTAATTTCCTTAGAAAGGATTTAAAAACAAGACTTTAGTTCATTTAAAATTGTGTAAACAAAAAATAGAAGAAAAAAAGACAGTGAAATTTCTAATATGTATTGCTATGAATAACACTATTGCAAACACTTACAAAATATTATTTCTCTGTTCTTCACGTGTCTGCGTGCTTGTACTGAAACACAAAACGTTCAGGACACAAACGTATTTTGAGTTAACACTCTTTATGGATGGATTTTATTTTGTAGCCGTCTTTCAACAGACCCGATTTTTGGGTTTATGACTACTAGTGTTAAACTCCATAGCCTTGTGATTTTGAACCCAATCCAGAAGACAAGGAAATTCCTGCTAAATCGTGAATCAAGCATAGGAAGAAATTTGCCTTCGTGGAACTTTTTGAAGGAATTAACCCACATTTGCGTTCATGGAGAGGAAAACCACCCACGGTTAGCTTGTCGGCAAGGGACTAACCCATGATTCGTCTACCTTCGAGGATATTTTACGTCAGAACTGTGGTCGGTACAAGCCATCGCTGGGATTCGAACCCGGTTTACCTCATTGGAAGGCGAGCGCTCTTTCCCCTGAGCCATCACATCTTATTAGGATAACTGAGGGGAGTATACGTATTATGGTCACATAGGTAAATCAGGAAGCATAGTTACACTTTTGTTAATTCTTTATATCATCTTTTTTAATATTGTTGTAACTAATTAAGATACTTTAAATTGTTTGCACACAATAATGAAATTAGTTGACTCAAAGAAAGTTCCATGCAAAAAAAAATTACATTTTTTTTGTAATTAAATTTAAAAATGTTCGAAAAAAATTTGAATTGTAAGCATACAATTTTTTATATAGATTCAAGCTAAGTAATTTTAAATATCAAAATCAAAAATTTTAACGGAATCTAATAGTTCTTTAGGAATAATAATTTAAAAAACATGCATTTTTTAAATTTTTTTAACTCAATTTTTCGTTTGATTTCGTTCAAGTTTTGTATTTTGGCTTATACAAAATTTCTCTGTGAAACAATTTACTTGCTCACATAACTTACATTATGTATAGAATTTGACACATTATGACGAAATACCAAAAATTGAAATGTTCCACTTTATGCTTTCTTTATCATAAATGGGAATTTTGTATAGAAAAAAAAATTATATATATATGAATATTTGATCGAAAATCTAAGAAAGAAAAACTTATTTGGAAAATCAGGACAACTTCTACTTCTCTGCAAATACAATGCAGAAAGCAGTGAAAGATAATTTTGAGATAAAGTTGTGTCAGAGCTTTTAAATATCGATCCAGAAAACATGCGAAATCTTTTCTTTTCAATGGGAAACCGTAAGTTTCAGTTGATTTAAAAGGAGGGGGATTCATATCAATTATTAAGATCTTAGCATAAGCATTGCCTAAGGCAGGTATGTAAATATATTTGCCTTACTAAAAGAATACGTTTCTAACATTACAGCTTTTACAAATTGTTTTATTTGAAATACCTTTCATTAAAACGAAATACAAACAACTTATAGTAATCGAAATATATCATTTGAAAATATATTGACCTTTGAACTATAATTGCACTTATTATCACATTTCACCTGCTAAATCGTGCTTAAAGCCAGCTAGACGCTTAAGGGCAGAATATCAACTTCATAACACAAGCCGAAAAATATTTAAAGGATTTCATGGACTGTCAACTGTTTGTTTTGCGAACAAGAATTATTATACGGTTTTAAACGATTCAGTAAGGTTTTAGACTGGAAATAACAATTAATACAGCTGAGTCACATATATATTAAATAATTAATCAAAAATTGTTTCGATTTCTGTTTCACCTCCATCGTTATCTAACAAGCAAAAATCCAAACATGGAATTTGCTCCACTTTCAATCTTCTTATACTGGGAACTTTATAAATTTTATATTACATTGTAAATTAACATTAATGGCAGTGTCGTTGCGAAGAATTGGGGTTTCATCCTCTGAGGCAACTTAAGGCCCAAACAACTTAGTTTCAGAATGATGTGTATTTTCTATGATGTAAAGGCGGTCGGTACGCTATGCTTACAACATTACTACCATCATACCGTTGGTTTTGAAGATTTGGTCGATAACAGGCTCTTCCGAGAGTACTTTACAGTTATGTATTAGTACTTATTTTATTTGTAACCACAAAAGTATGTGTCGATCCATTAAGATTATCTAAACAATTAACTAAATTTTTCTCTGAAGAATTAAAAGGACCTATTTCTCAATTTCTTTTTAAATCTTTTTTTTTTTCGTACCAGAATGCAATAATCATGGATTAATGATATTTAGTTAAGGAATCCAACTAGGTGAAAATCAACAATTTCGACGAAATATTAGTATTATTATCTATATTTAAACTGCAGTTCATTAGCTTTTCAAAATCCTCTAAATTTTTGATCTCTGGATTTTAGAAATGAAGTTATAGTAGTTTTTTCGTATATTGACAGACGAAATCAAAACCGGAAGTAAACTCCCTAAAACGAAACTAAATTTATTTTTTTTGGTTATGTTTTGAGTGGTTTAACCTTTTTTTATGTGAATAAATTAGGTTTTAAAGAAAAATAAAATTTAATTTTCAAATTATAAACTTTTTTGATCTCAGGTCTTAGAGGCATTGACGTCAATTTTCTTTCACAATGGAAAGAGCCGCTCCAGAAAAAATAGGTTTCTTCCAATTCAGGAGGAAGAAACTTCCTTAAAAAATATATATAAAATACTAAAACTTTTCATTAAACGATTTATAATTGCAATCTCCTTTAAAGGACAGCATTAATTGTCAAGCGATTTAATAAATGTTTAAACGAAAAATAATAAAAATTGGAAACAAAAATTAATTTATGAATTTTAGAAGAAATTAAAACAGTGTCTTTCAATGTTTTGGTTAAAAAAGAATTATAGCAGGATATTATTTTATGATATAAAGTGGTGTAAAATATAATCAAATTTTAATATAACAATTAAATTTACAAATCGCATGCTCCCATCTTAATCACAACAAACCACCTAATGAATTGACGATTTCAAAGAGCATACATTTTTTATAATCAAATACACTTTAAATATAAATACTCAAACGAACTTTTAGATGTGATTCGATGTTTTTAAATTTCTATAGGAAACTAAGATAAGTAATATGAAATCAGATAAAAAAAATAATAAGATGGAAAAAAACTTATTTTTATAGAATTACATTAAATTTTGTTTATTCAAATCATTTAATTGCGCAATCAAATTCATTAATTAACATATTGCATTTTACAATTGTATGGGTCATTTTCAGTTTCCTAAATTTCGTCCATTGTCCTGAAGATTTCACACATGAAAATAATTTTTTTATCTATTTATCTACTAAATGATTAATTTTTTTTCAACATTTTAGTTAAGTTTTTAATTTATCTTAATTTAAATAGCTGATTCGTATTTTTCTTTATTATTATTTGCCAGAAATATTAGGGTATATTATACGAAATGCAACCTATAATTGAGGTGAACTATACCCCGTCCCCGCTCATGAAGAAATCCCAATCCTGAATCGTGTATGAATAAAGATATGTGTCAAAATTTTTAATCACGTACAAAATAAGTGCCAATCATACGGCAAGGAATTTAAATAGACATCCGGCGTAACAGGAAAATAGATATTTCCGCTCAGGGCAGTAGTCATAGTCACGTAATGTTACAGTAGATGTTAATTCTGCAATCATATTTTACGTAAGTCTTTAAATTAGCTTTCGAACTTTACCGTAGAATAATTTGTAATCTAAAATTAAATTTACTGCTTTATTTTAATTGAAAAGATTCAAACTTAAAATTAGAAAACAATTCCAAAAATCATTAACCATTTATTACAAAAATGAAAATGACGTGTGGTACAATTTTGCACCATTTAAATATTTCATCATAAAAGTAAAATTATTTCGATGTCACGCAAATGAAAGTAAGTGGAAATATTTTGTTGAATGTAAAAACAAAATACTTGTTTTGAAAAACTTTGTTTTGCTTTAAGCAATTATTTATTAAGTTATTATTTGTTTAAAGTTTTTATTTTTTAATGAATAAAAAATAGCTTTTGAGAATTTAAGAAAACGAAATGACATTGAAAAAAATTCTGAAGTTTTGGGATGTTATTTGGGTGCCATTAACGCTACGCGTAAGTTTCGGAAAATAATTTAATGTCGTTACAACTTTTTGGGAAATGCCCTTTTCAGCAAAATAGAACACAAATTCGCACTGTAGTTTAATTAATTTACACTTCAAAAGTGTGGTTTTAATCAAATATTAAAGTATTAGTGTCCTTTTAAAGATTTATAACCTGCGAATGCAAAGGCCTGGTATTATTTGCCTTTCGAATACGCAGAAAATCTAATTCTACCAATGGTAAAATATGTTTTCGAAATAAATAATGAAAAAGCAATTATAATTTTTTTAAATGTAAAACATCTAGTGTCTATATTTCTGGAACGGCAAATTTAGGTATTGTTAAAATATTTTGCAAAAAAATAATAATAACAATAGTCATAAAAGTAACAAATTAACTGAATTCTTTAGTATGTAACATGCTTCTAAATAAGTTATTTTTTCATAAACTGTTCGTACTTGTGCCTATAATTGTGAAACAAAGTGTATTGTGCTTCTGAGGAAATTCTGGAAACTTGCATTTACGTGAACAGTTAGATGTAAAAATACCAGCTTTGGAAAAAGTGCGACTTATTATATTGCTCCAAGTTCAAAACAAGATCACGGGATTTATGACTAACCTAATGCATTGATTTAATGTGTAATATAAATTATGAAACTTTTTAAAAAAAGCAAGGTTTTTTTTAAAAAAAATAATGATACTGCGTTATTATTTTCTCAATGTTTTAAGTTCATCGACTCTACAGAAGAATGACAGTGCGAGTTTTGAAACATCTCTCTTTATTCGACAGTTTTTCTCAGAATTACTAATATTTTTGAAACAGTTGGAAACGTCTCAAAAACAAATGAAGCAATCTCTTGAGATTTTGCATACTTTTTCTAGATAGAACTGACTAATGAATGAAAGCGAAATTCAGTGAAGGAATGAAAGATTTATATCGAAAATTGAACTTTTTTTTGTATAAAACTCTGCTGAAAATCCAAAATTAATTTAAATTAAATGATTGAAATTAAATATTTTTTTTATTGTTCTTAAAAAATAAATTTAACTAATATATATATANATATATATATATTCATTTCAGACTTCTAACTCCATATAACTCCTAAATAAGCCAGGGAGGTTCTTAGCAGATCACAATAGCCTGTGATCTGTAACTCTTTGTGCAATGCCTGGTTATGTGAAATTGTGAAAAATCTACTCAATTTAATGAGTGTTGAAAAAAGGTCCTATTTTGAGGGGAGAAAGCTTTTTTTTTTTTCTTTTACGGAGTTTAAAAATTATGAATCAAAAACGTTATTGATCAAGTTTTCCAAAAGAACATTTTTGTGAATAGTGCGTTTCAGCAATAACTATTTTGCGAGTCATCTAAAAAATTTGAGAAGGGTTCACTGATGGACCCAAATTTCCCTTAAAATAATTCCTTGTGTGTGTTTTTTAGTTCCGTCTAGATTTATTCAAAACAAAATTAATAGACTTCGTTTTGTTTAATATATTTAAGGAAGTGAGAAAAGAAGATTATCAACTCGTAATTCAACTTAAAATTGCAAAATAAAATAGAAATTGGCATTTCCATTGACAGTATTTCCTTATTCACAAACTAATTGTAAGTTGAGCTTCAGACAAACCTGTTTTAATAAAGACACTTTCATTATTTAAAGTTCGTTTTTTTCTGTTTAAAATAACATTTGGAAATAATCTTAATTTCCTTTTGGCTTAAATTCAGAGCTGCTAAAATAAAAATAAGAAATAAAGAATTGTATACTCAGTCAGACTCATTAGCTATATAAGTTTTCAGGATTGGGCACGTTTTACGGCATTATGAAATTTTAATCCACTTACTTTTCTTCCCTCCCCCTTCTGTTTTTTAGAATGGTGACAGGAATTTTTTTCTTTCGTGTTTTTTACCTAGACAACTTTTACCTGATGTATACTTTAAGTTATCTAGAATTCGGGTAAAAAAGAAAGAACAAATAATATAATATTTGCAGATTCTGGTATTTTAGGTCTGCAGACTCGAGCCTGCAAAAGTGACAATAAGCCAGTACTAATTTCTACAGAGAATCCATATTTCGTCGAAGAAAGTGAACTCAAAAGGGGGAAGCGGTAGCATATGAGAATAAGTTAAAAATAATTTCAAATTTAACATTTCGTAGAAAATATAACTCTACAACAATTAATAATACAAGAAGTGTCTCATGACTGCATTTTTTATTCGAAAAAGGAAAAAATTTAAATTAAAACTATTCTGAAAACGAAATATTGTGGACAATTGTTTCCATAAAAAAATTTTGTTATTCCTCCTGTTAAAATACTTATAAGGCCTTTTGTTAACAAATTTTTTTGATAGAAAACTTTTGCGATTACTACATAACATGAAATCTTAATTTGACATAATTCTACCGAAAAATATAAATTAAGAGCTTGCTCATACTATAAAGGTTTTTCTGTCTTCTGAAATGGTAAAATGAAGTTGTTTTCTTAATAAAGACGGTTTAGAATTTCTCTCTCAAAATAATAAAACATTCTTTTTAATAAAATTTCAGACAAGCTGCATATAGAATTGGCACAAAAAAAAATCTTAAAAAAGTTTAATACAACTTGAAATTTTAAGTCTTTTTTTCTCCACAAGGAATGTACTAGCTGGAATTGAATTATGATGCGATTAATTATCGTAGGTTAAAATTTCAGCAAATCATAACTAAACATATTTAGTCAAAAAATGATCTATTTAAATCATTTTTTGACTATAAATCTTATAATGAAAATTTTCATTTTGAATACTAGAAACCTAATTTTTTTTTTTTTTTTGTATTCTAGTTAATCTTCTACAAGTTGTAACGAGATTCGAAAAAAGATTCATTTAAAGACTTTAATTGCGTGTAATTAAAAAATGCCTTCCCATTAAAACTTTGTAAAAAGATGAATTTTTTTTTATTATTTCATTTTTCATTTATTTATTTTTTTTTTTAAAAATTCTGGTAATAAAACATGAAATATTTTCAAAAACACGTAGAGCTGGAAAAAAATATCGTCAAGGTCAATACAACTATAGTGTAAAGACTAATTTGCCAGCTCTGTAATTTATAAATAAATTTTAAATTAAAATTTCTTCAATGACTTTTGCGAATAGATTAACAATTTAGTTTGAATCCAAATCTTTGCGATTTATTGATAAAATTAATATAAAGAAATAAAAAGCCTGCATGGATGATATAAAAAGACCTTACAAGCTTAAAATTGGCAGCAAACTTTTTGATCTGGATTCATTGGTTTTTGTGAATTAAGGAAACAAATACGATTAAATGCACAACCAGAAGAAAAAACTAGTTTAAGAGTAAAATAAATTAATAGTTGAATAATTATTTAAAAGACTTATAGTACTTCATCACTATGCATAAATTAACTACAAAATGATTTATCATAATCTATCAATTTCAAATATACGTTAGACTTATAATTAAATTGAATATTAACTTATTCATAGATTTTCTTAAAAATAACTATCGATGAAGAAATATATACCGTTAAATGTAATTGAATTCTTCAAATCTATATAATAAACAACAATAACAAAAACTATTACACATAAAAACTTACTTCACGTCTTGTCATGGTTGCGTTATGCCGGTTTTACCACAGTAATTTCAAACGCCGTTCCTAACCGAAACAAAACATTTCAACTTTTAATTGCGTAGGATCCCGATCTTGAAGATAGTTGAATGCGCATGCGCCATCTGTCGGCTGAGTCGAATCACAGACAGTTTGACGTGACCCGTTCAAAAAGAAAAACAAAAACTACCTTTCTTGGGAAGTTTTTTTCTGTTGCAGAAGCAAAATCTGTCAAGATTTTCTTTTTTTTTTTCGGAACAAAGAAAAGTTTGGCTGCAACCTTTTCAAAGCTCCATTAACAATGAAAAATTCTCCTAATATCTTAACAATGAATTAAAATATTTTTTATTGCACTATCGCAGGGTTGGCAAACTTTTTTGCGATGAGAGCCACTGTTGGGGGAAAAAAGTATGCGTATCCTTTAAACTTATCCAACAAACTTAAAATTGTAAAAAGCTGGAAAAAAAACTTCTTTTATAGGCTGATAAGAGGTTATTCACGTAAATAGAAAATCATGAAAATCTTAATTATAGTGGAAATTGAACATAAATACAAATTTAGATATTTTATTGTTAATTAACATATTTAAAGGTTCAGTCAGTTAGGTCAAGGAAAGACAGACAACTTGAAATATTTATTCTAAATAATTATTAAACAGTAATAATTTGGTTTTCGAATTTGTTGTTTTTCACCAAGTCACGCGTATTAGGATTAATTCTTGAAGAGGCTATCAAAATTAAGTAATTTAGTTGAATACCAGCTAAACTATATTTCGATTATGTTCGTTGTTCATAATGAAAAACAATAGTTCAGAAACAAAACAATACCTGACAGCGTGATCCCCTGTAAATTTGAAAAATTACTTATTGATACAAATTTCAATGTAATTCGGGTAGTAGGGTTTTTAGAATTTTGACAATAATCCTGAATGTAACATTATTATTTTTTTAATTTTTCAATGAGTTATCACGTGCCATTGTTAAAATCCTGCCAAATCACGTCGCTGTTTTATTTATTTATTGTATATGTGGTTTCGTGTGCTCGATATAAAGAACAATCTATAAACCCTTGTCAAATAGATAAACAGACAAAAAAGGGGAGATCAAAAATACATCTAAAGTAATGGTTAGATTCAAACCGCTATTAAAGGAGAATTGGTCATTCATGAACTATTTCATCACGCAGAGCAGGGATTTTTAAAACACAGCGCAAACTGATGCTGGTCTTCAAATTCAAAGAAGTAGCCTGCTAGTTCAAAAATTTTATTGGTGTACGTTAATTCTTTGTAGTAAAATGTAATGATATTTTTTAAACCTTTCTTTCATTATTTAGTAAAATCTTTCTGGAGATGTAGTAGTAGTTTATTTACGTTTCACTAGATCTGCAGAATGGGCTATTCTCGACGATCTGAGAAACATCCCTGAGAATTATCCATCACATTCTTGATCCTCTGCACAGGGGATGACCTCCCCTCTTTGGTTGTCCGACAAATTTCACACAAAATCGAGTACTTTACAATAGAGCAGTTTCAAAAGGACCGATACTGCGAACCCTCGGTTTCTTCGCAGGCTGTTCGCAAGAAAAATTTACAAATACATTTTTTTAAACTTTTTTTTCCCAGAATGTCAAAATATCATAAAGGTGCCATCTCGCAATAAATCACTCAAATGCCGATAATATAGTAACAAAGATTTATTGAAATATTTTAACCTTGATGCATTTTGTAATTATTCTTTAAAATTGCGATTTAAAGATAATTATAGTATTAAAGTTAAAAGCTTTATCATTTCAATTAAATTTTCGATCTTCATCTTTGTAGAATACCTTGGAAAACTGGACTGTTGGGTTACTCCTTCAATCCTTTTCAACCGACGAAGTTAACAAAACAAACAAAAAGTTTAATCTCTGTTATTACGGCAGGACTTCAATCAAAATAATTAATGTTTTTGAGAAGCAGTATCATTTTTTATCATTTAAATGAAAAATTTAAAAAAACAATTAAAACCAATGTTCAAGGTGAGTGACAAGGAGTTTATTTATTTCTATAGATTCTCAAAAATGAAGTATACATCTTGAGATATACATATCAACACATCGGTTTAAAAATCTAAAAGTATACATGTGAAATATTTTCAAAAGACGTATTTAATGATGCCAAACTTGATTCCCGTCTGGGGGTGGAGAGGGCATCTTCAAAATCTTAAATAGTTTTTTAATGCAGTTAACTTGGATTTTCCAGGTTAAAGTACTCCCCATGTGGCACGTAGGTTGTTGCATTTATGTACAGTGCGCAAAATAAAAAACGAACCACCCTGAATAACTTTTAGTCTAATAATTGGATCTTCACGTTCTAGCACTCAATCTTAATAGTTCGAGGAGGTGACTTCAAATATGCTAATTAATTAGTGCACATATATTTTAATATATTTTTTATATATAATATATTTTAAGCTACGAAATCAGACACAAAAACGTATTTTCGCTGAAAAAACATGTCTTTTTTTTTTTTTTTTTTTTTTTTTTTTTTTTTTTTTTTTTTTTTTTTTTTTTTTTNTTTTTTTTTTTTTTTTACTGATTTGGATTTCAATCCCCCAAAATGGGAAATATGGTCCCAATAGTTTTGTCTAAACAGTGGTCCAAAGTTTAGACCCCTTAATTTAAATTTTATTTTTTGCGTATTTTTCCATATCACGAAAATGTTTTAAACAGATTGAGCATTTTTTGCACACAATTGTAAAATTCATTTATCCAAGGATAATTCCATACAAAAACTAACTTTTAATATTTATTTATTGTAATTTTATTTAAGAATGGTCGAAAAAATTTTTGAATTGTAAGGTATAAAATTTTTTGCATCATTTTAAAGAATATAATTTTACATGGCAAAATGTAAAATTTGAGCAAAATCGGTCGAATAGTTCCTGAGAAATCGACTTTTAATATCTGACTTTTTTGAAATTCAATTTCTCAGAAACTATTTTGTATTTTGACATGTTAAATTACATTCGTTAATATAATACAAAAAAAATTTATACCTTAAAATTTAATACCTTTTCGACCATTCTTAAATAAAATAAAAATAAAAAATTTCTAAAAGTTTTTTTTTTTGCATGGATTTATCTTTGAATAAACGAATTTTATAATTGTGTGCAAAATATTTTCAATTCGCTTTAAAACTTCTCGTGATATAGTGAAATATGCAAAAATGTAAAATTAACATTAAGGGGTCGAAAATGTAAAATTAACTTTGGAGCGCTCACCTGACCAAACTATTGGGATCACGTGTTCCAGATTGCTGCAATCGCCTACATTTTGTGATCAGAAATCTAAATCTGTGAAAAAAAGGTATGTTTATTCAGAGAAAGTACGTTTTTGTGTCCTGATTTCGTAACTTAAAATATCGTTTGCACTTATTAATTAGCATATTTGAATTCACCCCCTCGAGCTATTAAGATTGAGTGCTCTAACGTGACGATCCGATCATTAAATAAAAAGTTATTAAGGGTGGTCCGTTTTTCATTCTGCGTTTAACATAGGTAACGCTATAACTGCAAAATGAAGATAGGGTAAAAATTGTTTACTCTTATTTGGTATTCTAAAATCCCTATCTTACGGGACCAAACTCCATCTCTTCCTTTCATTTTGGTTACCTTAATTGAGGCACAGTGCTCAAAAAAAAGGAAAAAAAAAAGAAGAAAAAAAAGAAGGAAAACCCGGAATAGTGGCTGATCACAATAAACCCTTAATAGGGCTATTTACAATATACTTTTAGTACTCTGGCCTATTGAAAACTGTCTGAAGTCATTCCGGACAATTGAACAATAAATGATGCACTTTCTAATTAAGCTATGCGTGCGTGAGTTCTCTGAATAAAATAGGCCTTAAAAATGTCAGGCTGATTGGAAAATATTCCAGCCATTTCTAAAGCATTTCAAAATGACGGCGGCTGTTTGCAAAATGCCGGATTATTTAATTAGTTTACAACTTAAATATAATCGAAATACTCATTAACTCATTTGTTCTATTTGATTTTTATACTTTATTTGTTAACATTTTCATCTTCTAACTAATTGTAAGCTAGGCCTTTTCCATATTAGGGCACAAATTAAAAGAAGATTTGGCTCCTTGATGATAATTTCATTTTTACCGCCATGAACTATTTAAGATTATTTGAAAATGTTTGCTTACAATTATAAAGCTTGTTTATTTTTATGTTAATAAAAATAACATCCATTTTTTAAATTAATTATTAATTTTTGTTATTTAATTTAATAATGATAGAAAATTTTTTGAATTGTTAGTTACGTCTTTTTAAACTATGCAATTTGAAATGAAAAAATTCAAAATTTCGAAAGAATTGTTCCATAGTTCGTTGGAAATGGAAGTTTAAAACTACGATTTTTATTAAAAATGTCATTGCTCCTTAACTCTTTATCAGAGCTCTCTTTGATTTCGTATTTTTCCATTTTAAGTTTTTTATTTAAAATTAAATAAAAATTTGTGTACATTACAGTTAAAAATTTTTGACCACTTTTAAACGGAAAAAATAATTTTGAAAAGTTCTATTTTGCATGAAATTATTTTCGTATAAACGAAATTTAGTGATTTGCAAAAATAAATAAATAAAATAAAGTGTTATTTCTTTAATTAGTTTCAGAAGTGCAGAGAAATTCTCAGAAAGTAAATATTAACATTAATGCCTTGACTCAGAATTTTTATTAAACATGGATTTCCTACTTTCTTCATTTTTTTGAATTAATTTAGGTCAAAATAAGTGAAAAATATTAAATTTAGAATTTAATAATTTATGGTTATGAATTATAGCATGATTTTTGATTTTATATTTTAGTGCAAATAATTCAAAGAGTTAAGGAATCCAAACTTTCGATAGCCTTACTGGCTAACCATTAGGACCATCTAGGTTGCGACTATCCTTGTATTTTGAGAATCAGAAACAGAAATCTACAAAAAAATGATTAATCACAGAAAAAAAAATATGAAAAAGTGTATTTTATTTTATTTTCGCTAGTTAATTAACATGCTTAAGATTAGAAACTCGAACCATTAAAATTGAATTAATGATTAAAAACCGATCACTAGATCAAGAGTTACTATGGTGCTCTCTTTTTAATTTTGCAGC